TTCTTAATTTTCCCCTGGATTTTTTTCCGTGGCCAAAACAAAATCCATGGTTTCGTTGTGGGTTGGGCAAAAAATTATAAAAAAAAGGGCGAGAACCAAAACCAAAATTGTTCCATCGCCTGGACGACCCCCCCTGGACCATTTTTTTTCCACGCAGATCCAAGCCCCCAGTTCCCTCACGGACACCCCCCCCTGTTTAGGGATGGCGTGGTAAATGCTCCCCCCGCGGCCGGTGGGAGAGACTTCCCCTTTTAGTTGGGGGCCTTGCGGGGCGGCGAGGCCCCCTCCCACCACCCCCCCGTCTTTAGGGAGGGTACCCTCCCCTTTCGGGGCGGGGCCCAGCGGGGCCATCAGGGCGTCGGTCTCCTGCACTCCAAAGCAGAGAATTTCAACAGGGGGGGGGGGGGGGGGGCACTCATGTTACTGCATGCCGTAGCCGTTAGACCATTGTCCTCGAGAGGACGGAGGATTGTTCCCAAGGGACCGATCACCGATCGCACAATTCCCGCAAGAAAATACGGCGACACCGATGTGGAACAACGCGGGAAACGGAGCACACATGCTGCCTTTCTACCGTGTACCTCGTGCGTGATGGCCTTGACGCGTGCCTCCAGCTGGAAGCCCTTGCCGAAGCGTGTCTTGAGGTGCTGCGAGGTGCCGAGGCACCGGAGGCGCCCGCCGACCATGATGCCGATGCGCTGGCAGAGAGCCTCGCACTCTTCCATGCTGTGGGAAATAAAAAGCGTCACGTTATCTATGATTAGCAAATGAGCACACAGGGGGAGGGGGTGAGATGCAAACACATAACACCGTGGGAAGGATATCAGTCGCAGACCCCGCCTGGGCGTCATAACAAGCAATAAAACTCCACGTTCGCCAAGCACCCATCAAAACAAAACCAAAGTGTGTATGCATGGAGAAGCAACCACCTTCACTTCACATCCCATACAGGAGATAATTCCAGTGATATGTCGCTATCGAATACAATTGACGTACCTGTGAGTGGTGAGGATCATCGCGCACTCCTTGTTCTCCGTTACTATCCGCATGATGACGTTCCACATGAACCGCCTCGCCATGGGGTCCATCCCCGTGCTCGGCTCGTCCAAGAACACGATCTGTGACACAAATCGACCACGCAACAATAAAGGAGGAGCGAATTACATCAATATTCCTCCTTTGCAATGCTGTACAAGAAATACATCAATATTCCTCCTTAATAATGCTGTTCAACGGCATACAAATTCGTCCATATTCGTCCCAACGAACGAAATGACGGCGGTCCAACAACAACGATACGAAAACGTGTGATACATGGACCGATCCACCGATACATCATGCACTGTGGTTTTTTTTTGGCAAGTTTTACCGATAGTCGTGGTAAACAGCACTCGCAGCAACAACCACAATGCTGTAACCGTCGTCTTCGGCTTCCAAAGTCTCGCGATTCTTGTTGCCCACCTGTGGGTCCCCGATCATGGCCATGGCAACAGAAAGCTTGCGCTTGTTACCGCCGCTGTATCCTCCGGCCGGCCTGTCTGCGTACTGCTTGAGCCCCATCTCCTCGATCTTTTGGTCCACGGCCGCAGACCGCTTGTCCGCCGGGATACCCTGCAGGACGAAACAGGGGAATCGGGGGCGGTACCGCGAGTGCATAGAGAGAGCGGGGGGGGGGGGGGGGGGGACTCAATGTAAACGCATGCCGTAGTCGTTAGAGTATTGGCCTCGAATCCTTACAATGCCTGGAGGGATTTTGGGAGCGTGAATAAAAAGAAAAAAAAAAAAACTCGCTGGTGGTGGATAAAAAGAAAAAAAAAACAGGCATCTTCCGAAAAAAAGCAACAACTCAACCAACGGCCTTCGCAACTCGTACCGACAACCAATCATTCAGCACACACACACCCCAAGAAACATAGAGTGCTGGGAGGGAGCATCATACACACCTTGATGGATGCGTAGAGGGCGAGGTGCTCCCTGCCCGTGAGCGTCTCGAACAGAGCGTCGAACTGCGGGCAGTACCCCACCAGGCGGTGGATCTCCTCAGGGTTCTTGCCCACGTCAAAGCCGCTCAAGTAAGCCGATCCCGTCGTGGGCGGCAGCTCCCCTGCAAAAAAGGTGATGAGATAGGTCGTGGGTCATGAACGGGTGGGTAGTGGTGTTGGGGGGAGGCTCCGCCGTTCAGCCACCACGTCAAGGTATTTCATTCGGATGCCGTAAATCCCGACAACGAAAAACAGTCTGTGGTATCTATATCGCCAACGGGTACATACCATATCCTTCTGTGATTGTATGTATGCTTTCCAAAAAGCCTACATTTCAAGACTTGATTTTGACAAACCTGAGAGGATTGCGAGAGTGGAGCTCTTCCCCGCCCCGTTGATGCCGAGCAGGCCGAAGCACTCCCCGCGCGGGATGCCCAGGGACGTGCTCTTGACGGCAACCTTGGCGCCGCCGCTCGCGGGATACACCTTCCGCAGGCCCTTAACCTGTATAAATGTCGCAAGAAAAGGAAAAAAAGACACACACACACACAACAGCAGAGAGCGGCAAAAAATACGAAAGTTGTCATTTCCAGGGTCAGGACGAGGTCCGGGCAACAACATAAAACGACCGCTTCAAAACAAAAAAATACAAGCGTGGCTTGGGAACGAGTGTGTGGAGGCGGTTGTGATTGTCGCCGACGAGCAGCGGCGCCGAGGTGCTATTTTATTTTTTAGCTCAACACCTGGCTACGCAAGCTCGTCGCACGGGGTACGCACACTCGTCTCTCACGGCTTTGTCGACGGCTGCCCCGCGCGCATCAAAATACCCTAATTCTTAGCAATACAAACGGACAACGAGAAAAAAGCTAAAAAAACTCATTATGAGACAAACCAGAGGGGGAAATGTGGCGGAGGCGGCGGCCGGCGGCCTCAACGACACAAGGACAAGACCGATGTTCCTATGGGGGATGAAACCCACAGAGCGCAATAGTTTGTGCTGGTGCACGAGACGAAGGATCATTTTGGATGCTACTAACACTATCGAAGCAGTCGTAACACAAAAAAGATGCTGCCGAAAACACTATTTTACGCTACAGCAACAGCTACTACATCGAAGAAGCTGCCATTGTTGTCATCAAAAACTACGCAAGACAAGCGTGTCCGACCTTGACCACATCGTTGTCGGCGCCGCCGCCGGCCACCCTGTCCATCTCCGCCCGGACGTCCTCGTCGATCTCGTCCTCGTCTCCGAGCTGCCTCGGGGTGAGCTTGCCGAGGCTCCTCCCCACGGAGAGCCTGCCGCAGAGTCCCGACAGAGCGGAACCGCCAGCAGATGCCCTGCAAAAAAGGACCGCGACCGCGACCACGACGACAAACAAGACGACAACAGAGGGGGAGCAGAAGATAAGTACGACTTGAAAAAAACCTGCGACATCAACGCCGGCCGAAAACGACCATGATGACATACAAGACAAAGAGGAGGGGAAGAAGATACAAAGCATGTCTCGGGGACCTGAGGATGGGGGGAGGGAGGGGACCTGCGGATGGGCGGATGGGGGGAGGGAGGCGTCGTCAAAGGCAACCGGCAGGACACACGGTGCACAGCACGCGAGTGATCCATGCGCTCGCAGCAGCAGAATATACGGCGCACCTCTCCGTGACCAGCAGCAGCCCGAGGAAGATCACTCCGCAGATGGCCATGTACAGCAGGGCGTTACCCGTGATCCTCATGGAAAGGGCCGTGTAGTCCTTGTCGTCCAGGAATCCGAAAAACTGTCGACCAGCGGAAATAATAATATGGAGGCGTGCGGGGGAGCATATGAGTGATCTTAGCGTAGGCAAATTGCAAACTGGCATTTAGGGGACGCGACCGAGACGGGCCCGCTGGAGCGGTGTTTCTTTCGTGTGTAAATGCCTGCCCCCCGCCCCCCGCTCCCCCCCTACCGTGCTTCACCGCGTGCTGCGGTGCGACAGGCGAAACAAAAAACATCCTTGTCGACCTCTTTCATCTCTTCATGGACCAAGCCGTGGACGGTTTTACCATCCGCCTGCGAAAAACACCACGAAGGCATGGAAGACTGCGACAGGCTTGCACCCTACACATACAGCGGTAACCAAAATCAAACACGACCCGCTGGCAAATTTGTGTACATAATAATATTATTTGACGCGAACTGTAGCGGTGGGGAGGGAGAGGGTCAACCGCGTCACACCGCCACAGCCACCTCGCCAACAACACTCAGCAGTGTCTGCCTCCGACATGCCATCCGTTCTGAACAACTCCCCGGTCGGCAAGAAGGGCCGCTACAGGCGGCAGGCGGACGGTTGGGTGCCGAACACGCTGTTCGTCAAAAGAGAGCGGCCGAGCGCATCGGCGTCTTGGACAGTTTGCCCTCCCCTGACGAGGGCGCCGAACACACACTTTAA